ACGAACAAACAAAACGAAAACCCAAACCCTCTGCCTGAGTTCGTACAACTTCCAACATATTACTTTCGACACCCAACGACTTCTGGTGAAGACAAGGCCTCAGGGTTGAGTCCATTTCAGTGCATAGTTTTTAAATGGGCATGTGTTTAAGGCCCTGCTTAGATTAATTTACCATTTTTACGGCTGTTTCCCGTTGTATTCTTAAGACAGCAGGAAGTCTTTGATGCTAACGCTGACGGTGTATGGTACAGTGCGTTGTTATAGCTTTAGATTCTTCTTGTTTCATTACCGTCGCCAGACCGGAGCGTCATCTAATATCGCTGGAGCATAAGGTAGTTTTTTTTAAATATTCGATATTGTGTTCATGACTTCGATACCTTTTAATGTTGTTACCAGATCTCGGGAAATCAATCATTCTCCTTGATTATATTATCTTCGTGTAAAAATCGGACAAATTCAAGCAAACTGATGTCTACTCTCCAGAGCAGCACCTCTAGTGGCTGTCAAAACCAAAGACAAAACTATAATAATACGTCAAAGCTGACAAAGGACAGCCAAATGGTGAAAACAAGCAGTGATAAGCGGCGGGAATGTAACGGTATCGTTTATTCTCTATTATACCGGGGGCGTATCCTGTATCATAATAAAAAAAATGTGCTGTGTGTGTGGTGTAGAGTGAGTGGGGGGCTTTGTATTGGGTTTTCTAACAGGAACGTGTTTGAGTCACGTGGCGGGTCGAAGTTTACATATGGGGCGGCGGGCGATGGCGTGAAGTAAACCCCCGGTCGGGTGAGGTTTACCCGGATGGTCCCGGCGCCCTCGCTTTGTTTTCGCCAGGCGCGGGCGCCTGCGCGTGGCGACGAAGCGCAGGGTATTGGTCGCGTTGCAGGCGCATGCCGCGAACCTGCCTAGCGCCGTCGAGTCGGGCCCCGATTGTCCGTATTGAGGTAGATACAGAACCAGGATATTTTGCATTTTCATTAAGAAAAATATAAATATTCTGGAGATAAAGATTACAGCACAATTCAATAAATCATTATTTAATCAGTTCTGGAGTTAGTTCTGTTCGTGCAGCTAGTATATGTATGTAAGTATCTAGCTATCCAGAACTTCACTTAACCAATATCAGCAGTCACTTATACGGTAACATTTATTTGTTTTTAAAGATGTATGCGTGTGGAGCTGCAAAATAATCAATGTGTGCAACTTCTATGTCTAATATTTAAGCGACATGTACCCGTATGTACGACATGTACCATGTACATGACATGTCCAAAAATGCGGTAATGATGTTAAAACATCTAGGTGAAGCCTATGTGAAGGTGTCCCAATTCCCAAAATGGGCACACAAATATTAGAAAATAAGGTTCAAACAGGGAATGTAGAAAACTAAATGAAAGCTATGTGTTGTTATAAGAGGCACCTTAGTGGCCCTTACTTACTTAGTGGTTAACTTACATTGTGTGTGTAATGCAAAGTGTTGTGTTGTGCGTAGGAATGAGCCGCCACCAACTCCCACTGTGAGGGCTATGCCGAGTGTGCAGCCTGTCCATCCCATGTGTGCCCCATCATCATGTGATCTACTCTCATGGGTGAGTTGTAGTTTTATGTGTAAGTTAGAATATCCTACTCGTACATAAAATAGATGTCGAGGTATAAAACAAATTCAAGCTAAACCTTAGCCTTAGGTTTACCTCACATGTAGAAGTTGTCAGTAAACTTTACAGTGATATGTTCTTATGAAATTTATCTTAAAAGTACGACTTTGGTAGTGGAACAAAAAATGTGTAGTGAGATTGGAGGTGTGGAGGAACGGGTGTCATGTCCCTCCAACACAAAGGGAGGATCCTCCGACCAGGCGAGGTGATCATGCCTGGGGGGGCCGTGGCCCAACGGTGATGGTGGGCAGTTGTATATATGCTAATCGGCGAGGGAATTCTTTATATCGCGATTACAGGATTAGCAATTCTTTTTTTAGTAGTTTCTCCGTAGTTCCGGTTCTGTGTCTTTATTAGATGGCATTGTAGTATGTTTCTGTTTTTTGTATGTGGGAGTCGCCACAGAGGTTATAGTCAGGTGTCCCTGTAAACCTATAAATAAATATAATCTTTGGTATTTGTTCTCACTATCACCAAAATAACCACCAGCTGATAACTTCTTCATGCTTCAAATAAAACATTTTTGATGTAACATTTATACCCGTTACCCTTTAACAGTGCCAAACAGAGTGTGACAAAATTGTTTATAATCAATTTGACAATAAAAATAATCTCAAAGCACCTGAGCTGCTCCACACCAAGATGTAGCATCTTGATGAAGTGATTGAAGTGTTTAATTTGGGTGTTGTTTTCTGCTGTACATCAGTCCAAGCACAGTGAACAGGCACTCTTTTAAAAAGACCAAATATTAATCAACTGTAAGGTAACCGCCCCCTTCATGTTTCAGGCTTCATAACAACAATTTTCGACAAATGCAATCACAATGACGCCCTCATCACAAGCAATTGTTCCACAAAAAATGGAACCGCTGGCCTTGCTATATTAAAGGGGGGTCCCTCACTAACGGATCGGATGCGGCCGTTCAGCACCGCGCACCCTCGACGCCGCCGTGCAACACTTGCGGTGATCACCCCACGCTCTCGATCAACCTTGAAGCGACGAAATTTTACGACTCCAGCGACCCCCGCAAACCCACAGATGTGATCCCAAGCACAATACGGCGGCAGCGGGTCGCAAGAAGCGGGGCTCCGCCCCCGCGCACCTCCGCCCCCACAACTTTCTCGGCCCAATGAAAAACGGTCGTTCCGCTTTTTAGATTTGTGACGACCGGAGCAACATTTCGAGCGGCGAGCGAGCGAGACGCAGCCCAGAACGACGAGCGGTCAACGAAGAGAATCGAAAAACCGTTCGAAAAAATAAAAAGGAGAGAGAAGGTGTGAAGGAAGAAAGAAAAAGCAGAGGGAGTTTTTAAACGACGGAAACCCGAGGAAACGTGAAGGAAACGAAAGATACGGTCGGACGTGCGGGTTTCGCAGTGGGGCACGGACGCGGAGCGACGCCCTCGGCGGTTTGACGCCGACGACACTACAAGCGCATGCGTTTACGCGATCAACCCGCTGGTGCACGTAGAGCGGTGCCGCTCACGGAGCGCGCGCTGCGAGAGCGCCACGCGCTTGCGCTGCCGCAGTTCGCCGCCCGCCTCGGCCTCACGCCCACGCCCACGCCCACCGGCGCCGACGCCGACAAAGAAAACAAACGCAAACCGGAGAGGCGAGTGCTGAGAAGTAAGAACGAGAAGCGGCGGACCCGCGGCCCACATCGATGGTCCTTCCGAACTGTCGATAGCGACGACGAACTTGAATGTTCAGAATTCTCGTGGCAATAAAATACCAAATAGTTAAAAATAACTTGCGCAAAACATAAGGGACCTCGTGTCGTTACGGGACAGTATAAATATAAACGTTTGGTAATTAGTGACGACGGCAAAGGCGATAAGAACCGACATTCCCCTCGTCTCGCAACACACACAAAGAGTAATCGGTAACTCAGGTCGCGCAGCGTCTTTTAAAAAGTCTGAAATTCTACGTCAAAAGGACCGAAAAACGAATTGGAATTAAATTATAAATCTAATATCGACAAATTTGGAAACACCTATAGAGAGCAGACGTGAAAACGCATCCGAAGGACAACAAGCGTAGGTCGTTGCGTCGCTCGACTCTGATCCAGAGCAATCGTGTCGAGGATGATGCAGGGAGTGACGAAAAACGCGAAACGCTTAAAAATGGGTGAAACTAGCCGCCCGGCGAGTCCCGCCCTAAGCGCAACAAGCGCGAGAGTTTGCCTCGTGATCTCGTGGGGACACCCAGCGACACCACAGACAGTTCCGATAGCGGTGACAACGGTCGACGAGCGCGAGTCGTCGCGAACTAAGAGAGTGACGCGACGCCGACCCGACTCCGACAGTGACGAGGAACGAGAAACGGTAGTCGACAGCGGCAGAGGAAGCGAACCGAGCGAAGAGCGCGGTCGTTACGTCACAACTCTAAGCCGGAAAAACGGGACACCGATAGCACCAGGAAAAGTAATCGCATATCAGTCTCTGCGATCACTAAAAGCTACACCGAGCGCTCGGCCAGTGAAGCGGACAGCGCCTCCTCCCTAGAGAAGTCCGTAATCAGAGGAAATTATTCAAAGATTTCAGCTAAACATGTTCCGAACGGTAGGACAAGTCGCGCTGGGGACGGCCACAGCTGATAACGAAGGCGCGGCGGTGTCCGAGCCTGCTAAACTGGTGAAGCCTTCAGTTAAAAGCCGCGCCGAACAAGCGCGGGCGCACGCCTGCGCCGGTGGAGGTGGCGGCGGAGGCGAGCGCCGCGCACGCGCACACGCACACCATCAGCAAACGGTAACTATACGACATGTCGAGTTCTGTGCTCGGCCCACGTCACTGCCACTCGGTTAGGTTTGCTCCCTTTTCCGTGTTCTATTTTCCCTTGATTTTTATCAGTGAGTCACGTGACCTTTAACACCAATCAGTAAATGGCGGTGCCCAATGTATGAAGTTTACTTTTTCACTAACAGCCCCTTGCTTGTCTTGTCTTTAGTCCCGCCAAAGGAGAAAAATAATAATTTGGTGTAGTAAGTGATTAAAATGAGTGACGAGTGTTCGGGTTTTGTTGTGAACTTCGAAACAGAAATTTTAAAAATTGACGCCTAAAAATAAACATCAACGAAATATGAAGGTTTGGCGAACGATGACCCTGCCCCAAAATGCCGCGGGAACGATCTATTATTTTTTAAAATTTTAAAAAAATTTACTTTACGGTATTATTTTAAAAAATAATGCAAATTTAAAATATTTTGAAAAGTAGCAGTCCCCGGGTTGTTCAGGGATAAGTGTTTTTGAACAATATTAAACGTGAACGCGTGATCAGCATATCTGAAAAAATAATATGTCAAGCGTATTCTTTTATGCTTTTAAGCAGATTTCACATTCGAATGTGAACCCCCAAAGGTTTACACTGGAGTTAAAAAAAGCGACAGACTCGGAGAGAGTGAAAAAGTTCCAAACCGGTGGTCACGGTCACGGTTTACAAAATACTGGGGACGTTCGGTTGCAGGGCGTCGAGGGGCAAGACGAAGGAGTACTCGAACCTGGAGGACCACGCCATCGTGGCGGGGGTCGGGCGGGGCGCGCGCGGCAGGGTCAACGGAAAACGCGCTGTGGGGGGAGCGCAGGCCCAGTACCCGCCCCTTTCACCGGATGTCAGTGAGTCCACCGCTCGCCATACTCGAGCTAAAATAACAAAACGCACGTGAAAAGTTTTTGTACCCCGGTCCGCTGTGTGCAGGTCGGTCGTGGCACTCCTGCGCAACCGTACCTGCGTACATCCTGCCGGCGCTGGGCGCGCTGCGCCTGCCGCCGCCGACGTGTCGCGCCTGCGCGCCGCCGCCCCCGCAGGTCAGTCCCGAGGGCGCTCTGTCCCTCCTTCCTTTTCTTGGATAATTTTGTCGATCGACTCAGGGATAGCTTTTCCGATAAAAACTGAGAGACGCCTGATTTGCTTTTCTGTTTTAAACCATAATTAAGCACTTTTTTTCTAGACGTTTTGCAAAATATGAAAAAAAAAATATTCAATGCTTTAGAAACAGGACACTTTTTTTGTTTTCGTAATTTGCAACATCATGTGTACATGCAGTCATAACACATTGACTCAGGCGGCGATCAGCTGTAGGTATACGCGGCCGGTAATCCCCACGTTGCGCTGTTACTACACTCGAACGAACGAAATATGTTGATTATTGCGTCATCAGATGAAGGACACTCGTTTTAATTAGTTCATCCAGTGAGTACAGTCGTCGGTCCTTAGCCACCGCGAATCGCTGAGTGTTATGCGTTCTGTGTCCTTGTGATGATGAGATGCGCTCACAACAAATTATCGTAATGATAACATTGTTGTCGTCGTACATCGTTGTCGTAACATGCTAGAACGAGTCAATTCCGACCCACATTCATGAAACGCATTTTTACTGGTGACGAGACGTGGGTTTACGAGTTGACATGCAAACTAGTCAACAAGCTTCGGAGAGTGGCGCCTTCCAACTGAACCGAAACAAAAAAAAACCACGCCAGTCTATCAAATTCAAAGTCATGTTGACTATTTTCTTTGACTATCGCGGTGTTTTTGCACTGGGAAATTTCTTGCTGGAAGGTAAAACGGTAAATAAAGAATATTTTTTGAGCGTTATGCGGCATTTAAGGGAGCAAATTCACGAAAAAGGCCCGATTTGTGGAAAGAAAATTCTAAAATTTTGCACCACGATGATGCCTTCGCACAAGGCCATCATTGTGAACGAATTTTGACAAACAGAAAAACAAATACCATCGAGCAACCACCAAATTCCCCAGATTGGCTCCAGCCGACTTCTTCCTTTTTCTTAAACTCAATTCCCACTTCGTGGCCGTTGTCAATCGGTAGAAGACATAAAGGAGAATTCACGGCGAAAAACTGAACTCAATTCCGGAAACAGGGGTTTAAAAAATGTTTTGATGGTTGGATTATTCGTTGGCGTAAGTGTATCGTTTCTGAAGGAGATACTTGAAGGTGATAGGTAAAAAAAATTTTGGGATGAATAACAAAATTTTGTGTATTTTTGATTTTTTCCCCGGGGTACTTTCTTGATAGAGTAGTATTTTTAATAAATTTAATTTGTGAAAATAAGTGATTATAGGTATATTATATAGGCGCCCGGGGGCGGCGTCGCTTTTATGTCGCCGACATGGCGACTCTGCCGTCTACACTTCACCGACTCATGTTCAATGCTGTTTTAAGTCGCCCAATTATTTGATTTTTATTATTTTGTTCTAAGTTTTCATTTTTGTACTTTCGTACTATATTTTTTTTATTTTAACCGACTTATATTTGAACCGTGTTACATGTTATTTCATTATTTGTGATTACTTTTGGACACTCGTTTTATTTCCGTGTGGTAAGACATTCGGTATACAAAGTGTCACCACCCTTATTCCTCTGTTTTCCTCTCGAGGCGACTAGGGGGTCAACTCGGGAGGAAAACTTGAACCGATGCGATGTCCTTTGATCCCTCACTTTTTACGAAGTAGTACAATTGCGAGCTTTAAAGGACCCATTACAAACAGAGGTACTTTATACGACATATCGTCATTTTTAGTTTACTTCTGTGTAAATACAAAATTAATTTTCTTTTGTACATTTCACCTCATGGGGGTCAATATTTTGTAAGTAGAAAAACGGGGTTGTCGGTCCAGGGTCGCAGAGGCGGCGCGGCGCGGCGGGGGGGGGGCGCGCAACCCCATCTTCGACCAGAGCGAGGTGAGCGCAGCTCCGCGCGGGTCGTGCGCCCGCTCCTCGCGCGCTCGCCCCCGCCCACACACCCCCTCTCGCGCAAACATTCTGAAGGTGAATAGCAAAACCATTGCATTCGAATCACTGAAATCGCAATAATAAGACACTAGAAATGAGTTAGCGCCGAAACACTTTCAAAACCGATGTCGCCACCCTCTCAACACATAACAAAATATAAACAAATAGATATAAGACTCGCCCCTTGCAAACAACGGTGAAATGTATAGGGCACAAACTATTAGGAACCCTTTAAATTACAATAATTACATGATTTTACTCTAATGTATTTTATGGCACCACTACAATATCGTTCGATGTATGAGAATGCCCGTAAAAATGCTAGGGATGGGGCTAAATTTTCGAAAGAGGGTCGATATTTTTTTTACGAGTAGCAATGAAAACAACTTTTTTTTAAATATTTTGACAGTGATGATACTTATAAATGACTGATACGTATATTTAACATAAAGCTATGCTATAACAGTTAAAATACTTTATTAATGCAGGTTTTCAGCGTCACTCATGAAAAAAATAAAAAATTCTTTTGGGCTAATCATTATTAAAAAAAAAAACGGAAACCCCAGAAAATAATAATAAACTACTACTGAATAAACTACTAATAGTTCCTTCACTTAACAATTAGATTTATATGAATGTATAAATAAGTATTAAGAAGTACCAAAGTATGAACAGAGCAGTTTTTTTTATATTTACTAGGGTCAACTATTCATACCCTTGTTCCCAACACAGTTCCAAAAATAATAATACATAAACAAGTGGGCTCAAACAGTATAATTACAAGTAAAACTCTACCCGAAAATGAATTTATTTAACTGTAAAATGAAGAAACTTATTTAAAAAAAATCTTTTATATCAGGAATTTTTGGAAAAACTAAAAAATTTAATGGTTAAATTAATAAGAATATTTTACCTGCATATATGGCTTAGTTTTTTACGTTCGACAATCTGAAAAATTTTTTCACTAACATCGATATAAACTGTACTTTCATTCAAATGAATTTACATGTCTAACTGGCGACCGATGCCAGGAGCCGTGTTATAAAAAAACGCAACGCAACGATATCTGATGCTACACATTACATTTCTTGGCCAGCTCCTCAACACCGCGGGGCAACAACAACAGAAGCACCAATGGTCACTGTTTTAAAAGGAAAGTTTAAAAAATTTAATTGTTAACAAGGCAGATATCTATTAAAGTACTAGCTGACCCGCGCAACTTCGTTGCGTTCTCAATAGTAATAATTTTTCTCCGTTTTGGGAAAACATTATTATTGGTGCTCCGCTCCTATTGGTTTAGCGTGATGATATATAGCTATAGCCTTCCTCGATAAATGGGCTACTAACACTGAAAGAATTTTCAAATCGGACCAGTAGTTCCTGAGATTAGCGCGTTCAAAAAAAACAAACAAACTTCAGCTTTATAATATTAGTATTTGATTCATCAAGATGTAAATTAGTAAAAAAAAGATTTATTAGTAACAAGTAAAGTTACCGGTTGAAAAACGCCTTGTTAGTTGAATGACACGTCCCTGATGCGTTTTCACAAACCAATTATAATGTAGTTCAACATTTTAAACAATATAAGTTCAAAATTTCAACTAAATCACGAACGGTTGTGAATTTTGTGTGTGGTGTTCGTGTAGCGTACACAACATCGCGGCGCCAAGGTGAAGCGTCTTACGCGATTCTATTGTCATTAGGATTTCAATGATTCGAATAGAACATCATTATTTTATTCTCGTAAATATTAGATATCGATAACAGTGCGAAGCTTCAATATTCATGTACGTGTGTGTGACGGTGCAGGCGCGAGCTCGCCGACGCGCCGCCCGCCCGCTCGTGACGTGACGGCCGCGACACGAGCCCCGGGACGCGACGCACCGACGCTGAAGGTATAGACATCAGAAATCACCATAAAACTATAGTTTATAAATCCTCAGAGCGCGTTTATCTAGTGACAATGTCGCAGGCGCAGGCGGCCGGGGGCGGGGGCGCGCTCCACGCGCAGCCGCAAGGTTTCAACCCCAAGCTGGTGCTGTGACCGCCCGCTCTGCCTGTGTACACAAACACGCGCACCAAACATGTTAAAACATGTACACGTGGGGGATGTCCCGGATCTATAAACGTGTATATCTGCGGATACGGATGTGGGGCCTCCATCTATCTACCCCTATGTATTTAATATAATTGGTCCATTTTTGAATATTGTAAACTTAATACAAAATACAGATAGGTTTCAGTCCAGGTCTGCAGGCTGTCCAGGTCTATATTTCACATACTGCCCTTTAGTCACCTCCTTGGTGTATAGAAAGTGATGCTTACGTTATGTTCGTAGTGATTATGATTGTTTAAAAAACTAACAGCGGCCCGTGGGGCCCGCCGGGGCAGGACTGGGCGAGAGGCAAACATATATATATGCGAATCTCTCAGCTCATTTGATATGGGGACTAGTTTATGTCCGATAGGGTGGAGCTAAGGTCGTTTCTCTTGTAGATTACAGATTATTTGTACAATTGTAATGGAAGTATGTAAATATGATATATTGAATAGTTGTGGATCTCATCGGTAGCGGACTGGTGCGGGTTTAGTGGCCCCGCAGTACAGATTGAATCATGTGGTTTGGTTAAATCGTTAATATGTATGTTTTTGTTAAACGTCAAAAATTATGTTATATTGTGTTTGTTTGCCCTTTCACAGCGCTGAGTGTTCTCTCGCACCACACTTTATTGTTATATAACTACACTTATTTTAACTATTTTCGAGACAATGATCACCGAGTACTGGTCAATTTTTTTCACTTTGATTAAACTAAAAGTAATCGCACTGACGAACGATAAACAGAATGATTTTAAAGAAAAAAGAATGTTTAAACCGTGTTCGAAACAAACACCTAATGGTTTATTATGGTACTCTAGTAAGAATTGGTTGAGTTTTATAATATAGGCATTTAATAAGGAACATGGTCATGTAACCTTCATTTGCTCTAAATTCATTTAGTAACAATCAATTGTGTATAACATCGTACTGAGGTTATACACAATTGATTCACCAACAAAACAATAGCGTGGCTCTGGCGCTGTCTTTGCGCGTAAGTGGTCACTGTTCAAACCCAGTGAGTTAGAACAGTGTTCTGTTTTGACTTCAACTTAATAAATAATTATAGTAAATAAACTGTGATTAAAATGATTTATGGGTTTTAAACTTTCTTATTTAGTCTACAAATATGAGCACAGATAAATCAACAGTAGTGAGTGGTCCCTCACTTCAATAACCCTTAGGTTCATTATCACGGAAAAGCGCCCCGAGAATCGTTCGGACTAATACCGGCCGCAACCTTCTGCTATCGCTGCATCTTTCATCACCACTACATTTTGTATTGGAACCATTTGGATAATTGGCGCTCCACCACTGTGAGCTTTTCAGGACACGTTCCCCTCGCACAATAAACGTGTGGAACAAGTTATCGGCTGCGGTATTTCCGGACCGAACGACCTTTAAAACCCTTTTAAAAAAAAAAGCGCACTCCTTCCTCAAAGGCTGGCAACGCGCTTATGACCCCTGAGTTATGGCGTTCATGGGCGGGGGTTTAATCGCTTTCCATCAGGTGTCACGTCTGCTCGTTTACAATAACCAATTTACAATTAAAGTTTATATTTAAAGCAATACCTAATGGTAACGAAGGAATGCCCGGGTACATTGTGTTACGATTAGTGTGCCGTAGGTCGGTGATAATCTTACAGAAGTTAATTATTGGCTATTTCTAAGCTCGTTTTAATGTTTATTTATTAAATATTCCCCACTGAGGGTGGGGAAAAAAGAGATCAAGGGTACAGCCCTTTAAGCGCACTGGTTTGGCCCAGACACTCGTACATTTCAATGAAATGGCGACTTCTCCGACCCCTTTGTGTTTTTTATTTGTGAACGTTTTTTAATCAATTTGAAAATTGCGGCGTGGTTTGTGGTGTTATCTTTCCACTGCTCGTCTCTGTGTCATGCAAAGTTATAGAACGCCGAACTCGGCTCGGCGGTCGAGACCGCCATGGGGGATCGAGGGTCACACGTACATAGCGTTTACACACCGATCTGTTTTTGTGTAACTAGCTTCAGAAATTGTTATTTTTGTTTATATTATACTAGCTGACCCCCGCAACTTCGTCTGCGTTCTCAATAGTAATAAATTGTCTCCGTTTTTGAAACATTCATCATTGGTGCTCAGCTCCTATTGGTCTTAGCATGATGATATATAGCCTATAGCCTTCCTGCGATAAATGGACTATCAAACCTGAAAGAATTTTCAAATCGGACCACGTAGTTCTGAGATTTGCGCGTCAAACAAACAAACAAACAAACAAACTCTTCAGCTTTATAATATTAGTATAGATTTTGTAAAGAGATAAAAATATTTTAAATATGTTTCACAATAATGTATTGTAAGAAAAGAGTCATCACGGGCACGTCCGAGGCCGGTGCAGCAGAGTTCAGGTGAACATGACTAGGGAGCGGTCAATGTTGGGACCTTAGAGCTAAGGGGTGGTCAAGCGCCAGGTTTCCCCGTGCGGGGGGGCTGGTCTGTGCGTGAGGCGGAGGCGCGATACAACTGTATGCGTCATTTTGCGATGGGAACTTATTATGTCTTTTTTTTTTTTTTTTATTGGGACTAATCCCACCCCACGCCCACCACTGTAATCCTGTACCCGGGATCCACAGCAGTGACCCACGAACACCCCGAGTTATGACACTGGGGAAAGTCCAGGAAGAAATAAAATGTCTTGGAACCCGAACGAAATTAATCAGAAAAAAATTGGAGGGTTGGAATACAGTAAATCCACTTCCCCCCTTAGCAAAGCGGGAGCAAAAAGAAGTAAAAAGGATACCCCCTTTTAAAAGGGAAGCACCAGGGGCCACAAAATTACGGTCCAATGGATTTTGTTTTCAAAAATAGTAGGGCAGAATCGTTTAAACGCACGGAAATTCCCCCTAGTTGAAACAAGATCCCATAGTATACCCCCCCAGATGTCACCTGCAAGATTCAGCATTTATTACGTATTATCCCAAAGACTAATTCCCAGAGGTATGAGAGGGGGACTGTCATAATGGGGGTTAGGTTTTTGACATTAAACCCAATGGGACTGATAATTTAAATAAATACAACTTGTTTAAAAGTTCCCATGACCGTAAAAAATTGAGCGACCGTATACCTAAAGCCTGCCCTCGAAAACCCGTTCGCAAAAGATGGAAAAAATTGGTAAAGATGGCCCCCCTGGATGTTTGCCCAGCGTTGCTGCCATTCTTTATGAGGTCATTATGAATGGACTGTGTTGAAGCAAATCTTGAAATTTTACCGCGTCCCGCGGCCCAAAGAAATGTTTCCAGTTTTGTCTTGAATATTTACAGGGCACGTCTCTGCCCCCGAGATCGACCGGGAAAGGACACCTCCCAAAACACCGGCAAAGCCTCAGTGAAAACGCCCTATATGTTTGCACAAAATATCAGAGCAAGCTTTGGCCTTGTAACAGTTTGCGACGGCAGCGCTACGGTCGCCTATGGCCCCACACGGGCCCCACCATAGAATATACCAAAAAAAGTAGCTCAAAGGATCTTAATGTATTAATGATAGACCCATGTCGCAGTTGAACCCTTTAAATGCACAAAAACCCTTTTTTTAGATTTTTCTTTTAACTATTTAAATGTTCATAAATGAAAGTTTTTCTAAAATAATCCTAGAAAACACTGGGGTTTATTTTTTACAGAAAATTTGTCAAATCTAATGTCGGCGGTTTTTTAGGTTACCTTTAAAAGAAAAATGGAAGGTTTTTGTTGGGTGAAAAAGTTAAGCGATTACGTTCACCCCATTGAGATATAATTCAAACATTTTTGGCAAATTTCTCAAGCCCCGCCTAGTATCAGATTCACAGAAATAACCCGTATCAGCTTTACGCTTTCAGAGTACATCCGGAGGGTTTTTGTACGTAAGAAAAATCGTCGAGCGATATTCCAAAGTAGGGACCTAGCACCGACCCCTGAGGACACCCCATTGTAAGCCCCCTTCGACACGAATGATGACCAATCTTAGTTTAGTTGTCCTTTGTGAAAAGTACGAAGAGAAAAGGGAATAAAATTTTAAAACCACCCCTTGTTTTTTAATTTCAGCAACAGCAGGGGCCCCCATGCGTGTCGAAGGGCCAGATATATCTAAGAAAATACCCAGCAGTTTTAAAATTTTGACTCTGTGAAAAACTTTAACCGAATAACAGCGTCGGTCGTTTTTACCAACGTAAACCCAAATGTCTATCAGAAATTTGACTCCACCTGGCAAAAGCCCGGGGAATAAAGACTTTCTAAAACTTTCCTAACGATGGAACAATGGATGGTCGGTAGGATTGGATCATCGGTGGTTTTGTGCCATTTTTTTGGTATTTTACGAATTTAGCCCCGCCTATACGAGGAAATACCCTTCGCAATGCAACGTTTAAAAGACAGTAAAAAACGTGCACCCGAAAGTTTACAAGTTCTTTTACTTTTTGTTAGATATTTATCATCACCCGAAGCCTTTTTTAGGGGGCAAGGATCTAAGATACCAGAAATTTCGGCTGAAATGGTAAATCAGAATTGGAGACAGGGGTGGTTCGATGCCACTCCCTGATCTGTCGGTGATGATCTGGTCTTTTTCCGGTCGATTCAGAGAGGAGTCAAAAAGATATTTGCTTTTTGTTCTACCCCTGTGGTATATTGTTTTTAAATTTTGATGTTCTGTATGTATGCGGGTCGATTGATCTTTTTCCCTTAAATTGTGATAAAAAGGTGCCCCACGGGCCCTCTCTATCGAGTTTTTTAACAAGTTTTTGAATTAAGTTTCCTTGGATTTTTCCCGCATCTGTAGGGGACCCGGAACTTAAGA